ACAACGAGGTCAACAACAACAACAACACTCAGTAACTAGATGCAGCACCTGGGCCTCGGCCGGGCCAGGAGGTGGAAATCAGGAGGACAGGATCTCACCAGATCAGCCGATAGCCTGCAATACGGCAATATGGCAAAAATACTGTTCATATAAATGTATGAAGAGGACAAGTGCACTGTGGGTAGAGAATGTCCCTATTAGGAAAGTATTTAGGGATAGAGGGCTGGGACGTATACTCTCTTCCAGTTCAGGAAAAATAATTATGTGTGCAAAGAGAGAAAGAGAGCTGGCGCCAATGACAAAGAAAATTTGCTCACACGTCAACAATACACACAGTGTGTGGGTGGGTGTCACTATTGCAACGTTCTGTTTTCATTCTTGCAACTTTTTGAAGCGTGAAATTATTTCCAGGTAAATGGATAAACCACCACCACCACAAACCAGCAGCAGCTCTCCTAGTTTCAAACAGTATCCCACGTGGAACTCCTGTGTGTAAACCAGGCAGAAGCAGGGTGACCCCAGCTGAGGCTGGCGTGGGGCTCAACTTGCCCTGGGAGGCTCTGGCGGCCCCTGGGGTGCCTCCCGGAACCCAGCTTGGAAACCACTGAGCAGGTTCAGCCTCCAGAGATGTGGGGATGTGGTGGGGAGGCAGGCATCCCTGCGCCCTATCATCTTTTTGATTACCTTGCATTACCGAGTTATTTTCTACTTGTAAGATTTTGTAGATGGAATGTTTTTTCCACTAATGGAATACATGCTAAATCACTGAGTGTTTAAAAATTTTGATGTATGTGCAAAAGAGTTAACATGTGCACACGCATACTTGGTCGTGTCTGACTCTTACAAGGGCCCCAAGACAGACGCTGGTAGCCCCATTGATCAATAAGAAAGCTGAGCCCCAGGAAGTTCAGTAACTCTGAGCACTGACCCCGTCCAGGTACTTTCCAGGTGACCCTGATGGTACACTGATCCCCATTTTATGCACAAGCAGGGGCCAGTGGGGTGAGCATCCAGGATGACACCACTGAAGCTGGGGTTCAAAGCCAGATCTGCCAAATGAACCCCAGAGTCCCTGCACCTCTTGACTGCTCCCAGGTGAGTAAGTTGAGGCTCTGAAGGGGGCAGCCCTGACCTACTAGCGGCAGAGCTGAGATTAGGGGGCTCTGGAACCCCAGTCCAGTGCTCACCCCGCAGTGGGATGGGGACGCACTGTCTGCCCCCGATGAGAAAACACATCTGTTCCTGGTGGGAACCTTCACACAGGCCTGCCCTCCAAGCACGAGTCTCCCTGCTGGAGCCTGGCTTTCGATCAGCAGACTCAGCGCCTTCCCACCAATGATGGAGAACCATCCGCCCCCTTGTGTGTTCCGCTTTGTTCTTCCTCCAGCTGCTCCAGCCATTCTTACCCCACACAATTAGGCATCGCTTCCCAAATCCTTGCTCTTGACTAAGGTGTTTTTTTTTTTTTTTTTTTTGCTGTCTATTTATATCTACCTACCTATCTACCAGGAGCTCTGGTAACATAGTGGCTAAGGCACTTGACTGCTCACCAGAAGGCTGGCAGTTCAAACCCACCAGCCACTCCTCAGAAGGAAGGTTGGGCAATCCTACTTCCGTAGTGATACTGCCTCGGAAACCCAAGGAGGGGTCGCTATGAGTCGGGGCCGACTCGACGGCAAACAACAACAACAACAAAACAACAACATCTACCTATCTACCTATCTATCTACATTCGGAAGGAAGATGGGGCAATCTACTTTCGTAGTGATACTGCCTCGGAAACCCAAGGAAGAGTTGTTATGAGTCAGGGCCGTAGTGAAAACTCCTCAGAAACCCAAGGAGGGGTCAGGACTATGAGTTGGGTCCGACTCGAAGGCACATAACAACAACAACAACATGTCACAAAATTTGCTATCTTATCCAGTTTTAAGTGCACACTTCAGTGACATTTATTATATTTACAAGGTCGGGTGACCATCACCACTGTCACCCCCAACAGAAACTCTGCACCCATTGGCAATTTCTGCCCCTGCCCATGGTAATCTCTCATCTATTTCCTGTCTCTATGCATTTGGGTATTCTCCGTATATTTCCTATAAGTGGGATCATACAATATTTGGCTAACTTTTTTAGTAAGAAAGTTCATTACTAGCAAAGCGTTTGAGTATCACTGCCAAGAGGCTGTTTTTTTTTTTAAAAAAAAAAAAAGAATTGCAGGAAACCAGTGGCTTCTGGGTAAACCCTGAAGGCTCACTGAGAATGGGGCCCTTTTGCCAGCCCAAGGCTGTCTCCTAGCAAGGTCTCAGCAGAGCAGCAGAGCCCTGGGCCCTGAGTGTACCTGGAGCCCAGCATGGTCCAGAGGGAAGCGGTTCCCGTGATTAGCAGTATGGGCAGGGAAGGCAATTGTCGTTAGTGCTAGTGGCCCTGCTGGATTCAAATGCAGACTCAGCTACCATACTCTTACACAAATAGAATGCGTGGTTCAATGTTCTTTGCAAACCGTGCAACCTCATCACACATGGAGTTTCCTATAGGCACCGTAAGCATTATATGCGTGTGCAAGTTATTTATATGGGTCCATTAAAAAATATGGTCAATCCCCTGGCTTGCCTCATGAAGCGGGTCTGAGTGTGCCCATTAAACAACTGAGGAAACTAAGGCCCAGAGTGCCTGAGTAACCTGAGCACAGCCAGGGAGGGGACCTGGGTCTTTTTGCCCCACCTTCCTTGGGCACCAGCTGTTTTCTCTCTCTCTCTCTCTCTCTCTCTGTGAGGCTGCTCCCAGACAAGGGTCCCACAAAGGCTCTGTCTTCTTTCTGGTTTGGTCTGGTTTTGCTGCTGCTCCCTAGATGAGGCCCAGGATACCCCAAGCCTGCCTCCCTCCCTCCGGGTGCTATGTAACCAGGACTGCCTTGCCTACTCGGAGAGGCTCTGGGAAGGTTCCAGGCTGGCTCCTGGCCAGACCTTTGCTGGGTCACGATGGGGTTGTCAGCTTTTGCTTCACATGGCTCCTGTCAGGCCTACTGGGACACTTCCCAGGGTTCCACAGCTCTCACACTGGCCTTGTCAAGCTCTGGCTGGCCCTGGTCCCCAGCTCACATCCTCAGCAGCATTTTAGGACGTTGCTGCTGTGGCATTCACATCCCGGACCTGTATTCTGGGCTCCAGGCTGCACAGGACGCCCAGAGTTCCCAGGCTAATGTCCATATCATGAAAAAGACCTCCACTACAACATCCTACCACTGCCATGTCCCTCCTGCCTCCAGTCACACGTCAACATTAGGACGAAGTGTTAACGTGTAGTTCTAACTCAGTGTAAGGAGCCCTGGTTGGCACAGTGGTTAAGAACTTGGCCGATAACCAAAAGGTCATTGGTTAGAACCCAATAGCTCCTGCATGGGAGAAAGAGGTGGCAACCTGCTTTGGTAAAGATTGCAGCCTTGGAAACCCTTGGGGGCAGCTCTACTCTGTCCTTCCACTCTCCATTACCAGCATTGCCATGGACAGTTGCACAGGTTGCTCACTGCACAGGGTACCCAGCTGAATGGGTGGGAGATGGACAACATCTTGCCTGCGATCTGTTCACCACAGGCGCCCTGTGGTTGGGTGATGCCTGTTCCTGCCTGCTTGGAGGATCCTACACGGATGATTAAGGATTCCCTTCTTTGTGCTCACACCCCTTGAAACGTGACTTTGCTGCTTTTCCCCACAAGGGTGCCATCTGTTTCCCCACTCCTTGAATTTGGCCTGGCCTCGTGAATGTTTGCTCAAATAAATGTGTCAGAGTGACATTGGGGCCCTTCAAGTCTAGGCCTCAAGAGGCCTTGCAGGTTTTGCTTGTTCTTAGACCCCTGCTACTACCATGGGCACAAGCCTGGTCCAGGCTGCTGGAGGGTGAGAAACATGTGGCCCAGTCCCCCGGCCCCAGACCAGCCAACCACCAATCAACCACTCAACATATCAAT